AATCGTAATTTTAGCAACTGGAAAGAGTTTCAGAGGTCCTCTGATCCAACCTTTCAATTCACTAAAAATAAATAACTGTGATAGAGATTCTGTTCTTTGGGACTTCACCAGCTAGTAAGGGAGGCGATATTTTTAAGAGAAATAACATTAAAGAAAATGAAAAGCATCTATTCATTGGGTATATGAATAGCTCATCTGTCTGCTTCTGAAGATAGATTCATCTACCGCTATGATGTAATAGGGGAAGAGAGTGGAGTGTGGAGCTCAGAGGGGAGTGTTCAGCTCTACCCGGGATGATCTAAGAGAGGAGAGGACATCTGAGCTTCCTCCTTCCCTCCCTTCCTTCCCTCCTTTCTTTCCATAACTCTCTATTACCCCCTGTATGCTAAGCACCAGGGATAGGAAACACTGGGACATAGCACCTGTTCACAAGTAGGTTACAGTCAATCTTCATGATTTACAGATCCCATATCTACAAATTCACCTACTCCCTAAAATGTACCTGTATCTCCAAAATCAATACTTATGGCACTTTCACGGTTGTTGTGTGGACATGCACAGAGAGGGTATGAAATATACAACATTCCCAGCTGAGGTTCAACAAGGCGATGCTCTGCCTTCTAGTTTCAGCTCGTTACTATAAACAAGTGTCCTTCTCACAGTCTATTTAGCACCTCATGTTTCTGCTACTCATTGGTGATTTCACTATTTTTAATGGTCCCAAGTGTAGTGTTGAAGTGCGATCTAGTGTTCTAAGCACAAGAAGGCTGTGAGGTGCTTATGGAGAAACTGCAAGTGTTAGATAAAATTCCTTCAGGCAACTTACTGTGCTGTTGGCCATGAGTTCAATAATAATGAATTGATGATTTGGTATATTCAGCAAAAAAAAGAGGAAATTTGTTGATCTGTGTGTGATCAACAGAATTGATCTGCTCCAGAAAGTGCTAAAGTACCTAATATCTACAGTGCATGATGAAGCTATGGAAAAGCGGCTGAAGTTAGGAATTCATGAAATGATGACTGATTTTTTTTTTAAGCACAGTGGATAGCACTGTGAGACTGAAGGCCAAAACATTTACAGTAGCACTACCCAGGGTCAAGAAGATGTTAAACCCTTCTCAGTATTTCATTATACGGAAAATTTGCATATAATTATTTGTAAGAAACTTATATATTAAATTGGGTACCTTGAAACAGAAACATACATAAAACAAGTTTATATACTGATCTATTGATGAAAATGTGACCAGAGGCCCACAGGAACATGAGCCCATATTTTCCCTAGGAGCAGTGGCTCAGAACTTGCTAATTTGATGTTTGCAGCAACTTTATAAAACATAACTATTGCAGATAACAAGACTTGACAGAACATGTAGTGTGGGAAAGAGGTGATCAATCACTCTACAAAGTGATCGACATTCAGACAGCCTCATGAGCAGGGGAACGCTATGGATGTGACTAGGTGACTAGCTTCCACATTTAAATACTTTTTCTGCAAACACTTTTGAAAGAAAATTTTATATTTTTGCTTTTGAAATTATGTGTCTACGAGCAACACTTAATTTACGATCAGCTATGATTTCTTCACAATCGTCAGACACACTCAGGAAATCTTTCAAAGTGAGAAAATCTAGCCTCAAAATCATTTTCAAATGTAAGTAGAGTTAAAAATTTTCCAGTTAATGGGGCATATATAATATTATGTTTGGTAGACGATTACATAGTTGTTATTGTCAATATCAATTTCGCAATTTTCTATTTTATAGCTAATAATACTTTTGTTGTTTCAACTCATGCTTTTTTTTTTTTCCAGTCCCTGAAAAGTTCATATTCCTTGGTTACCAAGGGTAGATCCAGACTTTGGGGACTCTGAAGCTTATGTAGCTTGGGGTCTCTTTTAAGAAAAAGAACACAAAATTACAAATACAAAATTAGGCCCCTTGGAATAAGTATCATTAGGATCCAAGTTAATCCACCTCTGATAGGCACTTAGCACCTGTTGGATAAAACATCCTCTGCAGAGGCCACTGTGGTGCAGGAAGACCAGGTAGGAAGCTATAGCCATAGTTCAGGAAAGAAGATCATAGTCCAAACTTGAGGATGGAAAGGATGAGAGAGACACAAGAAATATTTAAGAGGTTGGTGTGACAGGAATGCATATTGCTGGGACGACTTGATGAGTCAGAAGAGGGACTACGGAAGGGGATATGGGTGGTTTGATGGAGCAGATATGGAAGATAATTGACTTCAGTTTTGGAAATATCAAAGCCAATGAGCCTGTGGACCACACCCAGGGACCACAGATGTATGGAAGTATTCCAGATGTATGGAAGCCTTTTATTTATTCTGAGGTTCAAGAGAGAGGACTGACCAGTGTGCAGGAAACAGCTGTTGGCATATGAATGGTCGGTGAACCCCAGGTGGCTGAAGTTGATGAGATCCCCCAGGGTTGTGCATAAATTAAGAAGGGATGCATGAGGGAGATAGCACTGCCGGGAACATCAGCATTTAGAGGTAGAGATGCACAGAAGAGGAAAGAAGAAATGTATGTCTCTTTAATACTGTTAATGGAGTGCCTGCAGGTACCACATACTGTGCGAGGTGTCCTCAGCTAGAGGAAGCAGTCAGGCACAGAGGTTGTCAGCTGGGGCCGGGGCCCAGGGAGACAGGTAGCTCGAGCTTGGAGGGTGGGCACAATTGGGGTTTCCCAGATGAGGGAACCGATGAGCAAAGGCACAGGGCTAGAAAACCAGGAAATAGTGAGTAGCTCATTCTAAGTAGAATATAGGTGAGAGAGAGAGAGAGAACGGTATGAGCCTGCTAGGTTGGAATCAAGTTACGGATGGGCTTTGAAAGCCAAAATATGAAGTTTAACAATAGGAGTCTCGGATGATTTTGAGCCAAGTTTTACAGTTAGAGCTGAACATGAGGAAGGGTTCTCTAGCAGACAGGCATATACCCAAGCATTGCAGAGACTGACATAGAGACTCATAATAGAACCAGCAAGAAGTAAGGGGGCCTGAACTCAGAGGGTTGCACAGAAACACAGAGGAGGGGATAAAAGCAAGTGCTCCAGACAGAGGAACTTAGGAGACGTGCCTGACAGGTCCCATGGGTCCTATGACTGAGCAAGTAAAGACGGGGTCCAGGTTTTGAGCCTAGACGGCCAGGAGACAAGTACAGCAGTTACTGAAATTGATCTGTGAGAATAGAAACTGGAAGGCCCTGGAGCCCCAAGGGAAAGAAGACTAACCGTGAAAGTACTAGAGTTCCTTCGCTGTGATTCCCCCTCCCTGGGCCCTGAGCAGTGGGGTGTGTTAAAGCAGCCTCGGTTCGGTTCGCAGCCTTGGCATGTGGCTTGATGGTGAGGTCGAGCTCAGCCAGAATGCCCACATTTCTCTGTTCTGCACTTTGCTTTATTGTGGTTGTTCGTTTGTGTTTAATCCTAAACCAGAACTTGGTTTTCACCTGGTGGCTTTTCATCTGGTTGGATTTTCCCCCAACACCCACCCTAGTTGAGCTTGTCTTAAACTTTCCTTGTCTTCGCTGAAGGTAGTTGGTCCTCCCAGTTTCACATCACCTCTCGCTTAGAGAAGTGGACTTCTGGGCAGTTTGCTTTGGTTTTGCCCAAGAACCAGTCTGTGTCCCTCATATTCACTAATGAGATGGAGGACAGAGGGGCATCCTTCCAGCCTCTTTCCAAAGTCTCCTCTGACATAGATCACCTTGTGACAGCTAGGAGGGTCGGATAACAGGGTAGGAGCAGGGGAGGGGAGGGAGGCAGAGGATGTCTCCTCTCGGGTCCTGGGGAACTGGCTTCCTGGTGACTGCACTGCCAGGTTCCCCAAAGGACTGGCTGAGAATCCACTGTAGGGCCTGGGAATTCCCACCCGAAACTGCCGAAACCTGCTTCTTCCTGGATCTACTCCAGGTGTTTATGGAAAGACTTGCTTTGAAAGGTCTCCCTCTCCCTCTCCTTGAAGACTTAGTAATCTGCAGCCAGGACCAGCTACAAAATTTGCAGTTCCACATTTTCAAAAAGTATTAAGAATTTCAAGACAGCAGCATCAGAGCACTGAAGCAAGTGCAGGCTCTTTTGGAGTTGGGGGCTCCGTGTGACCTTAGAGGTCACACCTGCACGAAGCGCTGCCAGTGGCTGAGTGTCAGTGCTTTGAGAGATGTGATTTCACTGTGCATCCCCACTTCATCCTGAGTGTGACCACACACATCCACCCCACGGAACCCTCGTCCCTCCTGACACACCTTCCACCTGGTCATGAAAGGTATTCCACACGCCCTGCTCAGCTGCTCCCAAGCCTGTTAACCAAGGAGACTCTGCTCTAGAGAAGGGTTCTCATTCTGTTTCTCCACTTAATTCACTCCAACTCCTCTCCAGCTAACCTTTTTCAGCCTTCAATAAAATAGATGTTGACCTTCCAGGTAAGATTTGAATATTCTCACCCAGTCACAGGAGCCACAGAGTGTGAAAGATGAAGGGATGTCTTCTCCTTGACACGGCTGTTAAGATGCAGTTCCAGTGCTGGGGTAACCCGGGGGTGGCTATCAGCTGAGGCTCTCTTCCTGGAAAGGAGGGTCTGGGGCAGCCTGGGGACATCCTGACATTTGCAAAATCCCACTTGACAACAGTCCTGCTCTTTAACAACATAAACCTTATGATCTTTATTTTTATCTAGATGAGGAAACTGAGGCCCAGAGAAGTTAGATGACTTCTCAAGGTCACACAGTTAGGAAACAGCATAGTCAAAACTAGAACCCACACCTTCGGAGCCCTGAAACAGCCCAATCTTCTCTACACACACTGTGGAGGACCCAGTCCTCCCATTACTTCTGTCCACAGTGGGGCATTTTATAAACACTAGCTTAAGGCTTTGAAGCAGCTTCCATTCTGTTCATATCTAAAACAATCAGCTCTGATTTCTGCCTTCCTCAAAGTGTAATAACTTTCCAGCTAATTTTTATTTCTTGTTCTGAATCTTCAGAGACAACCCTGTTACCCAGTTTAATCTCAAGACTCACATGAATTCCCGGGATCTGAAGACAGCCATAGAGAAAATTATGCAGAGAGGAGGGCTTTCTAATGTAGGTATGTGATCCGGGTGCCAATCTTCTTGCTACCATGGTTCTCTTTCTGTGTGGTCGTCTGCTAACATGCTAGATAGAAAAAGGAAAAAATCAAAATAATCCATCAAGAAATGACTCACAGAATATCTGTATCTTTCCTCAAGTATTATCGTGGATTTAGGGGGCAAAAATCATTACCACACACATGCTGGAGAGTTCTAGCACGCCGGGTTCCTCAGTATGGCAGCTTTCTTCAGGACAAGTAGAACTGCAATCATGACTATCCCAACTGTTCTCCGAGTCATCAGCTATTTTTCATTATATTTTGTAAAAACTTTTTTTTAATAAAAATAAGTAAAATTTGTAACCAGTTCCATTCAGGAAGCTCCACAGTGCCCCTTGGGAGTATTTTTCTAATCAGCTCCTGTTATAGTAATAACTGTGCAAAAAGAGACATGTTCTTTGTTTCAAGCTGAGTCTCTATCTGATCCTTGGTGGTGGTGATGGGGTGGGGTGGCAGTGGGGTACCAGAATTCCAAGGTCAAGATCTAGTCCTCAATGGGGCAGATCCAGAAACTCCATTTTATCAGTTCCCCAAAGGTGACCAGGCATTAGGAAACAGTTTCACACGAACCAAGCTCAAAGGCCACCAATGAGCCCATGCCAGTGTACTAATTTATAAATGGTTGTCTGGTTTTGGGGGCACTGGGAAGGCTGTCCACTTCTTGGGGAACCTGTCTGTACCATTGCAATCCAGGGAAACGGAGAAGTGAGCCACAGTTGCTTGACATGGAGCACGCACAGGGAATAGAACTATCTTTGAAGGATCATCTTCAAAATTACAGTAAACCTGATTAATTATTTCCCTCTCCACCTCAGTGTTTGTCTCTGTAGACCAGTGTATTAGTATCTGGCAAATGAAGAACCTTTGATCTCTGAACAAGTCTAAACAAACACTGGCCAAGTCACTGCTATCCAAGACACAAAATCAGTATTACCTCATCAGGAACATGATAGAATTGATGTCTGATTTTTCAATTTAATACTTATATCAGTGAAATTCCAGTAATGTATCATGCAGTAAAACGTTAAAACTTCAGGGGCTTCCCTGGTGGTGCAGTGGTTAAGAATCCGCCTGCCAATGCAGGGGACATGGGTTCGAGCCCTGGTCCGGGAAGATCCCACATGCCGCGGAGCAACTGAGCCCGTGCGCTACAACTACTGAGCCTGTGCTCTAGAGCCCTCGAGCCACAACTGCTGAGCCTGCGTGCTACAACTACTGAAGCCTGAGCACCTAGAGCCTGTGCTCTGCAACAAGAGAAGCCACCGCAATGAGAAGCCCGCGCATTGCAACGAAGAGTAGCCCCCGCTCGCCGCAACTAGAGGAAGCTTGCGTGCAGCAATGAAGACCCAACGCAGCCAAAAATAAAATTTTAAAAAGAATTGTTTAAAAAATAAAAACTTTAAAACTTCAGAAGACATTCTGTTTCTTGATGGGATTAATAAAATCGGCATAAAATCATTCTTTCAGTGGGTAACATGTTCTATCTCTGCCCTGTATTGATCTGGGTTTGGGTTTAGAGAACTGAACCCATTCCAGCTGGTTTAAGCAGAAAGGGATTTATTTCAGGGTATTAAATGGTTTTGAGAATTACTGAAGAAATGGACTCTAGGCTGAGCTTTCGGAGATGGCTTCCCAAGGCTTCTTGCAGAACCAGGACCTCCAAGGAGCTGTACCTCTTCCAAGATCAGGAAATTGCTTTCTCAATTCTGCCACCACAGCCTCTTTAGGAATCTGCTTCAGCCAGGAAGCCACCATGATCAGGAAGTTTCTGCTATAGCTGCCAGCTACAAAACCATGCCTTGCCTGCTCCATTCACAGCCAGAGTGAATGCTCTGCACCCTACGTTCTCAATACCAAGGAAGCTGGTGACCAAACATAGGCGCCTCTGCTAACACTTCCCTGGAGAAGTCAAACACTCTACAGACTTGTCAGCAGAAACAGCAGAATCAAATCTCATGTGTGTGCATCATTTCATGAAACTAAAACAAATCCAGAACTAGCTGCAAGGAAGTCTCAACAATGTAGTTTTCAGATTTCCAGCCTCTGCTTTCAAGACATGCTGGAAGGTGGATGGAATATGTATTGAGCACAAATTGACCATGACCTCCAAATTTAAGATTGGTGGGGTCAAGGTGATCTGATGGCTCCCTGCTCTGTCTACAGGCAGTTAACATTAAACCAGGGGGGACTGCTGGGTGCCTTGGGCCTTGAGGGAAATCAGCCCCAGCTGTGAAAGCAGTTCTCGGCAGCCAATGTTTCCCTTAGCAACTGTGTTCTATGAAGCCAGCTCACATGGGTTCTCCGAGACATTTCTCTAGCAACTGAGTATGTAACCATTTGATCCTTTCATTTGTCAGGTAAGATTACACTAGCCAGTGGAGCCAGGATGCTGGCCAAAACCAAAGAAGCATTGAGTGTAATGTCATTAACCCTAATGTCTTAAGAAGGTAGCTCTTAACTTTTATTTTGATTGGGGACCCCTTTGAAAGCTATGGCCCTTGTACCCAACTAAATACTTATATACACAAAATACTGTGTATAAATTCAGGGGATTTGTGGGTACTCACCCCCAGTGCCCCAGGGGATCACAGAGCCCAGGTTAAGAGCCCTACCTTACTATATGCAGCTATGCTGACTCTAGAGTGACCAATCATCCCAGTTTGCCCAGGGGCATATGGGGCTTCCAGTGCTAAAACTGGGAAAGTCCTGGAAAACTGGGACAGTTGATCACCCTCCTTGATTCCAAAAAATTTCATAAGACCCTAGACAGTGTGAAGTATATGCTTGAGAAAGCCATGCTGGGAGGCTGTGCTATCCCTCTCAGCTGTTGCTCTCAGCTGAGGCAGGTTGTCGTCATGGAAACCTAGGCCCAGAGGCCCCAAATGACCCACCCAGGCCTACATGGCCAGTAGGCGGCATAGCCAGGCTAGAACACCTCTCTTAGTTCTTAGTGGGTGCAGCGCGTCCTGAGCCAGCCAGACCTGTGCCCCTGGTGGAACTAGACACAAGATTCCACTGAATCCAGAATACAGCCTTTCCCACCCAGCGGCTGCTGGAGCACCGGGCTCACCCCGAGCCACCGTAGCCCAAGGAGAGGCTCCCGTCACTTCAGCTCCCCCCACCCCACACTCTGGGAAATGGCACAGGGGCTTAGTGAGGTTGGTTCCAGCACCCAGGCAAAGAACGGACACTTTTGTTCCTATGAAAATTTTTCTCATCTGTTTGCTGGTCTTTAAAACTTTTATTTTTTGAATTTAATTTTTAAAATTGAAATACAGTTGATTTACAATATTAAGTTAGTTTCAGGTGTGCAGCAAAGCGATTCAGTTATATATTTTTTCAGATTACTTTCCATTATAGGTTATTACAAGATACTGAATACTGTTCCCCGTGTTTTACAGTAAATCCTTGTTATCTATTTTATGAATAATAGTTAGCATCTGTTAATCCCATACTCTTAATTTATCCCTCCCCCGATTCCCTTTCCTCTTTGGTAACCATAAGTTTGTTTTCTATGTCTGTGAATCTGTTTCTGTTTTGTATATAGATTCATTTGTATTATTTTTTAGATTCCACGTGTGATATATAATATTTGTCTTTGTCTAACTTACTTCACTTTTGGTAATGATAATCTCTAGGTCCATCCAGGTTGCCGCAAACGGTGTAAAACTTAAAAAAAAAAAAAAAAGAGAATTAGAAGTTAAAGGTTTAAAATGAAACGGGAGGGAAACGGCTAGTGGTGATGGTTCCATGACATTGTGAGTGCATTTAATACCACTGAACTGTACACCTAAAACTAATTAATGAGATTAAAAAAGAAAACAAGCCAACAAGGGAGGGAATGAGTATTTTTCTGCATCTCTTTATGCTGCTATGATCAGTCCCATGATCATTCCAAGCACGAGTTTTCTTTTTCTCCCAGGCCGGGCCATCTCCTTTGTGACTCAGAACTTCTTTTCCAAATCTAATGGAAACAGAGGCAGTGCTCCCAACGTGGCCGTGGTGATGGTGGACGGCTGGCCCACGGACAAGGTGGAAGAGGCATCAAGGTTTGCAAGAGAGTCAGGAATCAACATTTTCTTCATCACCATGGAAGGTGCCTCTGAAAATGAGAAGCAGTACGTGCTAGAGCCCAACTTTGCAAACAAGGTATGTAAGTGGGAGACCCACCCAACATAAGAATTCCCTGCACTTTGCAAAGCTGTAACAGCCATCCAGGCTGTGTCTCTTTTTCCTTCAAATGGGTGTTAAGCTCACTTCTAGGTAGGAGGGCCTCCAGTGAGAGACTAGTAAGTCTGGAACCTGGAGTTATCCTCTCAAAGCAACCCCCCACCCCACGACCACCACCATGTACCTGATGAACTGAGGCCCAGCATCAGCACCTTGGGAGGAGCAGGGTCCCCAAGGTCTCACAGTAAAGACTCCCCTGACCTCCTCCTATAGCCCCAGGGAACCTCAGCTGGGCAGCCCAGCAAGCCTTCACACGAGCATGCACACGGGCACACATGCACTGCAAGTTAACTAATTAGATAAACAAGAAAAGGGTATTGAATCAAGTCAGGGAGATGAGGATTTCAAACTCAGCTGCCCCTCAGTTCTGTGGAAATGCCTGGCAGGAGATGGGAGCAGAACAGATGGGGATCCAGGCTCTCACACCCATCCCCCCAAAGCAGCCCATTTTTTGTATATTTTGTACAGTGGGACCCCACATAAATCTTCCTCCAAAGACAGGACCCCCGGTTTAAAAAGGAATGGAAGAGAGAGGGCAGACAGCAGAAGCAAGAAGAACTACAATCCTGGAGCCTGTGGAACAAAAACCACATTCACAGAAAGAGAGATGATGAAAAGGCAGAGGGCTATGTACCAGATGAAGGAACAAGATAAAACCCCGGAAAAACAACTAAATGAAGTGGAGATAGGCAACCTTCCAGAAAAAGAATTCAGAATAATGATAGTGAAGATGATCCAGGACCTCCCTCAGAAAAGGAATGGAGGCAAAGATCGAGAAGATGCAAGAAATGTTTAACAAAGACCTAGAAGAATTAAAGAACAAACAAACAGAGATGAACAATACAATAACTGAAATGAAAACTACACTGGAAGGAACCAATAGCAGAATAACTGAAGCAGAAGAATGGATAAGTGACCTGGAAGACAGGATGGTGGAATTCACTGCTGCAGAACAGAAGAAAAAAAAAGAATGAAAGGAAATGAAGACAGCCTAAGAGACTTTGGGACAACATTAAACACAACAACATTCGCATTATAGGGGTCCCAGAAGGAGAAGAGAGAGAGAAAGGACCCGAGAAAATATTTGAAGAGATTATAGTCGAAAACTTCCCTAACATGGGAAAGGAAATAGCCACCCAAGTCCAGGAAGTGCAGCGAGACCCATACAGGATAAACACAAGGAGAAACACGCCAAGACACATAGTAATCAAATTGGCAAAAATTAAAGACAAAGAAAAATTATTGAAAGCAGCAAGGGAAAAATACCAAATAACATACAAGGGAACTCCCATAAGGTTAACAGCTGATTTCTCAGCAGAAACTCTACAAGCCAGAAGGGAGTGGCATGATATACTTAAAGTGATGAAAGGGAAGAATCTACAACCAAGAATACCCTACCCAGCAAGGATCTCATTCAGATTCAATGGAGAAATCAAAAGCTTTACAGGCAAGCAAAAGGTAAGATAATTCAGCACCACCAGACCAGTTCCTCAACAAATGCTAAAGGAACTTCTCTAAGTGGGAAACACAAGAAAAGGACCTACAAAAACAAACCCAAAACAATTAAGAAAATGGTAATAGGAACATACATATCGATAATTACTTTAAACGTGAATGGATTAAAGGCTCCAACCAAAAGACACAGGCTTGCTGAATGGATACAAAAACAAGACCCATATATATGCTGTCTACAAGAGACCCACTTCAGACCTAGGGACACATACAGACTGAAAGTGAGCAGATGGCAAAAGATATTCCATGCAAATGGAAATCAAAAGAAAGCTGGAGTAGCAATACTCATATCAGATAAAATAGACTTTAAAATAAAGAATGTTACAAGAGACAAGGAAGGACACTACATAATGATCAAGGGATCAATCCAAGAAGAAGATATAACAATTATAAATATATATGCACCCAACATAGGAGCACCTCAATACATAAGGCAACTGCTAACACCTATAAAAGAGGAAATCAACAGTAACACAATAATAGCACCAACGGACAGATCATCCAAAATGAAAATAAATAAGGAAGCAGAAGATTTAAATGACACAAGAGACCAGATAGATTTAACTGATATTTATAGGACATTCCATCCCAAAACAGCAGATTACACTTTGTTCTCAAGTGCGCATGGAACATTCTCCAGGATAGATCACATCTTGGGTCACAAATCAAACCTCAGTAAATTTAAGAAAACTGAAATCATATCAAGCATCTTTTCTGACCACAAGGCTATGAGATTAGAAATGAATTACAGGGGAAAAAACGTAAAACACACAAACACAGGGAGGCTAAACAATACATTACTAAATAACCAAGAGATCACTGAAGAAATCAAAGAGGAAATCAAAAAATACCTGGAGACAAATGACAATGAAAACACGACAACCCAAAACCTATGGGATGCAGCAAAAGCAGTTTTAAGAGGGATGTTTAGAACAATTCAATCTCACCTCAAGAAACAAGAAAAATCTCAAATAAACAATCGAACCTTACACCTAAAGGAACTAGAGAAAGAAGAACAAACAAAACCCAAAGTTAGCAGAAGAAATCATAAAGATCAGAGCAGAAATAAATGAAATAAAAACAAAGAAAACAATAGCAAAGATCAATAAAATTAAAGGCTGGTTCTTTGAGAAGATAAAATTGATAAACCATTAGCCAGTCTCATCAAAAAAAGAGGGAGAGGACTCAAATCAATAAAATTAGAAATGAAAAAGGAGAAGTTACAATAGACACTGCAGAAATACAAAGGATCCTAAGCGACTACTACAAGCAACTCTATGCCAATAAAATGGACAACCTGGAAGAAATGGACAAATTCTTAGAAAGGTATAACCTTCCAAGACTGAACCAGAAAGAAATAGAAAATATGAACAGACCAATCACAAGTATTGAAATTGAAACTGTGATTAAAAATCTTCCAACAAACAAAAGTCCAGGACCAGATGGATTCACAGGTGAATTCTATCAAACATTTAGAGAAGAGCTAACACCCATCCTTCTCAAACTCTTCCAAAATATTGCAGAGGAAGGAACACTCCCAAACTCATTCTATGAGGCCACCATCACCCTGATACCAAAACCAGACAAAGATACTACAAAAAAAGAAAATTATAGACCGATATCACTGATGAATACAGATGCAAAATTCCTCAACAAAATACTAGCAAACAGAATCCAACGACACATTAAAAGGATCATACACCATGATCAAGTGGGATTTATCCCAGGGATGCAAGGATTCTTCAATATACATACATCAATCAATGCGATACACCATATTAACAAATTGAAGAATAAAAACCATATGATCATCTCAATAGATGCAGAACAAGCTTTTGACAAAATTCAACACCAATATATGATAAAAACTCTCCAGAAAGTGGGCATAGAGGGAAGCTACCTCAACATAGTAAAGGCCATCTACGACAAACCCACAGCAAACATCATTCTCAATGGTGAAAAACTGAAACCATTTCCTTTAAGATCAGGAACAAGACAAGGATGTCCACTCTCACCACTATTATTCAACATAGTTTTGGAAGTCCTAGCCATGGCAATCAGAGAAGAAAAAGAAATAAAAGGAATCCAAATTGGAAAAGAAGAAGTAAAACAGTCACTGTTTGCGGATGACATGATACTATACAGAGAATCCTAAAAATGCCACCAGAAAACTACTAGAGCTAATCAATGAATTTGTTAAAGTTGCAGGATACAAAATTAATGCATAGAAATCTCTTGCATTCTTATACACAAATGGTGAAAAATCTGAAAGAAATTAAGGAAACACTCCCATTTACCACTGCAACAAAAAGAATAAAATACCTAGGAATAAACCTACCTAGGGAGACAAAAGACCTGTATGCAGAAACCTATAAGACACTGATGAAAGAAATTAAAGATGATTAAAAAAAAAAAGGAAAGGAAGAGGATAGGAGGGAGGGGTGGGGGTTGCCCGCCAGCTTTAGTGTTCTGTGTCTCCAGATCTCCTAGGGCTCAGCTCCCTGCACGAATCCTGCACTTCATTGTCCTTGAAATTCTCGTCTCCCTTAACCTCTAGGACATGGTGTGGCTCTTACTTCATTTGCTCTCTCCTCTTTTCTGTCTTGTACCCTAAGTGTAGACTTCCCCAGGGCTCAGTTCTTTGCCCTCTCCTCTGCTCTCACTAGGTTTTCTCCCTCCAGAAACTCTCCCAGGGCCACAGCTTCAGCCTTTGCTCACAGGCAATGACACACTCATATGTCTCCCTCCCTGGTCTCTCCGGAGCTCAATAGCCATTTGTTTCCAGCTGATTGACTAGTCTCCACCCGATGTCCCCAAGAGCCTTAAACGTTACATGCAAAATGCCAAGTGCATCATCTTTCCCACCCAAATTCTTTCCTCCTCTGGACTGTACATACGGGCCCCACAGCTGTCTCAGACACCCAGTCACCCCAGGACACCCTGTCAGCTCCCGTGTCACGTATCTCACATCTGTCCACTCTTTGCCATGCCCAATGCCACCTCCCCAGTTCAGGCTACTACTTTACA